CAGGAGGGTGTGGATACATTCAGGGAGGTTAGGTTGGGCAATAAATGGCACCTGAGGAGGTGCACTAAAATCAGGTTAGCCCAAAATACTGAACATGTTTTGAAGTGCAGCCCAGGGCTAGAGAAGCCCAGCCACTTACCTGTCCTGGGGCTGTACTCCTTCCCCCACCCTCCTGATCCCTCCCACCTGTGGATTGACAACTCCCACACAGGGCCGCCAATCCCTGTCATGGATGCACTGACTCCCTGTCCCCACCCCCCAACCTGCCAGCCCCCTCCTGTTCCCACCCACCTCTCCCCTCCCCTCACCCCAACTTAGATCGTTCCAAGCACTAGCAAAAATCTGCATGAGCAAGATCATAGATTGGGTCCTGAGAATGGCCTCATGTGCCCATACTCACTAATCCAGGGCAGTGGGGGAGGTACTGATCATCTGCTGGGACAGCCCAGGAGCAAATGACTGCCCTGTTGCAGCAAAAGAAAACAGAATAGAAATTGTTGCTCAGAAAAAGCCCTCCTAAGTCCCAGGGCTACTTTTGGTATAGAACAACTCTTGAGGGTGCCTCACTGAGAGCCGGGTACAAAGTCAGACTAGCACCAAATCTAAGGTGCTTCATACTGCTTTTCCATGTGTGAATTGGCCCACTGAAATCAACTATGTATCGCCCTAAACCACGTAACAAATTCTTACCCAGAAGTAACAATCAGTTTAAACCAACTGCCACTGACCCAGCTTTGGTCTTTCTGAAATGGTCAATACAGGAAGTGGTATTTTCCAGGCAATATATCAGTTCTTCAGTGAATACAGCTCTAAGAAAATTATAGAGAGCAGTTGTGTTCCCCTGATATATATCCAGAACTCCAGATCTAATTACAGTTACTAGCATGGGGACATGTGTTAATTGCCTGGAATGTAAAAAATGTCAGGTATTTTGTGCTGACAAATCTACAACAGCCTTTTCACTACTTCTTTGTTCTGATAATTCCTTGCTGTGCATCTACACAAGCTATGTTTGCAATATCACAAACAAATAGCCATTGATAGTCTGTCTCAGTCATTTATTGGAATTAGAATAAAGTGGAACTGATGTGCACCCAGAATATGCTCTGGAGCCAATGTCATGTCTTCTGTATCCTGAAATTGCAGGCTTATTTTCATTCTTCATACAAAGTAAAATTTCAAAGACTAGTAGTCTAACATAGTGATTGTTAGCCAATTATGAGTCAGAAGGAAAATGAAGCTGTCTCCTCTGTACATCTTGCAGAATTGATGGAGAGAGCTTTATGCAAGCACACAAATGCCTTGCTATAGTGAATAACTACTGTATTTTAAATGAAGAGTTGCTGAGAGGTTACAATTTGGGCACAGGTTAAACAAAAAGCTTTTATAACCACTTAGAAAACAAAAATTGGCACAGTAAATTACTGGCAAATATCTATTTCGAGGAAAACACTCAGGGTTTTGTAGTGAGCGAACCTAAACAAGACAGCATATATGTCAAAAGCTCTATTATAAAACTTGTGCACTGACCTGAATTTTCTGCATTATTGGATAGAAGTTATTTATATAATAATTGCTTGTTGTATAAGTTCTAAATAAATACAGGGACACTTAAGAGTAGCCCTGTAATAAGAGAGTAACTCTTTAAACTACAAGTCTTTTGAGAGTCCCAAAATTGAAGTCTAACTCAAGTCTGATGGTCCTGTTGCTTTTACATAAAACCTTATTTGATGACTAATCCTTCTGAAGTGGGGCCTCCATCCTGTGCCCCCCGGGCTGGGCAGTGCCTGCCCCCTCCCTCACTGCAGGGGGTGTTGATAGGCCCCATCCCTCCCCATCTCCCCTTCTGAGTTACCAGCTGGAGGCAGCTCTCCACACTGCCAGCTCTGCTTTGCGCTGCACCACGGCTGTGTGCACCAAAGGCATTTATCAGCCCCATAGGGCCGATACCTGATATAGACAATTTTCTTCATATCAGTACTGATCTGATATCAGACTAATGTATCGGTGCTCTTCTAATTTTTTTAACACATTTTGGTGAAATTCACTCTGCCACCAATGTCAGAGATTTCTGTTACAACTAATGTACTTTGCCGTTACAGAAAGAAGTCTTAATTTGGTCTTCAGATCAGTGGCTGTGGTGGTCCCTGCATGGATCCAGCTGCCAGCCCAAGGCTGTGTAAAGGTCCCCCCC